TTTCAAACTTCTATGGCAGTCCCAGGTGGATATAACCTACTGGCAGTGCCATCTCATGTATTCAGTAAATATTTTGGGAGTACCATCATTAGGAACTGTGCCAGGCTCTGCAAACACAGTTATGAACAAGATAGTCATATGATAGAACTTACACACCTGGCTTATTCTACTGGACTGAAAGTTCCTTGAGGGGAGAAATTATTCATCATAAATCCAATGTAGAGATGTGCAGAAACAGTGATAGAAATAGATACCTTGTATTGTACAATGAGCAGTCTCACAACTCTTCCTCTCATACACAAGCACAATTTTACCCTTGTTACTAACAGACAGATCTAAGTGATACGGGCCAACTGCACCATCTAATGAGCTAATTATCTTTCAAAAAACTCATACACACACCACCATCTCATTTTTTCTCATTTATTCCCTTGGAGTATGAATTTAGGATGGTCTTAATATTGTTCATGTAAATCAAACTAATTTATAGCCCTCTTTCTTCTTCCCAGTTACCTCAATGAGGTCTTTCTTCAGTGGTGAGCCTTAATCATTGCTGATAATCAGTGTTAGCAGTACACTTTTATCACGTAAGTGAAATCCAGTAACTAATGGCCATCAACCTGCAAAGTACTTAAAAGGTGCCCAGAATCACCTTCCTAAGCTCTACAAATCTATCTCTTCTGATTAAACTTACTTTTCTTCAAGCACAAGTAGTACAGAGAACTTCACTAGTATTTATTGTTACATTATTATAAATGCCCATAGGGTACTTTCAGGTATGTTATAGAATCTCTAAGGTCCCTTCCAGCTCTGAAAGTGCAGAATTCCATATCAGGCCTGAGATTTTTATTAGCATTTTAAAGTTTCCAAGAAAAAAATAACTGCTAATATCCAAAACACATACATACATACATACATACATAAATTTGGTAACATAAACTGTTACCAAGCTAGGAAATTCTGCAATGCAGTAAATTATTTTAAGATTGTATCAAATGGTATTTAAAAAAAATAGATTGGTAGATTTTTACAATGGTTTCTGGAAGAAATTTCCCAAAATCCTTACACGCTTTTCTAACTCTAATTAAAATCCAACTAAAACTAGCACCTGGGAACCCACAAGGCCAAAACAGTGGAGGATTCAGTTCAGTAAAACAAGGTCCCTACCCTCAAGCAGTTCCCTAAACAACACCCCCAGCTCGTCAAGATTATCTACTTGTATAGTGAGCTTTCATGCTTGCACTTGTTTTCTCTACCTACAACTTCAAGACCTAGCTCAGGTAACTCCACAAACATGAATCTCCTTGCTTCCATCTTCTCTGCCACTTAAGGCTGACAACTACATATTGCTCTGGGTTCATCATCTTTTACAAAAGTGTCTTAACTATTCAACAAGCATGTAAATACTACTAAGGGCAAGCACTAGATCGTAAACATTCTGTAGTCCCTTCTCAGGGAATTACTACAAGTGTCTTCTAGCACAAAATATTCCATAAGCCTAAGAGGGAACTGAAATTTAAGTTCTTAGTCTTAATGTCCCCTAGTCAAAACCCTCAAGAAGTAACATAACATGGCAGTTAAGAGTTCATGATCTGCGGTTGGGGTTGGGGTGTTCTGGAAATCCCAGATCTAATGTCTAACTCACCTTGGGTAAGTACTTAATTACCACCACCACACCTCAGTTTCCTGGACTGGAATACAGATTGTTAACTATCCACTTTATACTAGAGTTATGAGGATAAACAGGATCAAGTATATAAAGTTGACAGTAAGCATTAATGTTAACTACTATGTAGATAAAGATAAAACAGTGGTAAATTTCCTTCAGCTCTTTATTCCTTGGAATACTAAAGTATTCAGTTGGTGGTGAAGCATATGAAAATAAAAGCAAAACTTCAGTTACCTCAACCCACTGAATTTTCAATACTAATATTCATAAATAGAGCATTCACCTGGTTCATGCACACTGAAGTTTTCATTCTGGTATCTACAGAATGACCTACCTACTAGTAGTAAACCTTAAAATACCACCTTCAAAGAGTACAGAATACTAAAACATGAAAGAAAAAGGACGTCAGATGTCCCCCCCACCAATAAATTGAACCCATGATTTAAATCCTACAAAATGATTCTTTAAAAATGCTGACATCTGAAAAATTTGAAGCCTGTACCCATTTCTTTATATGAATGGACTATGTAGTTACCCAGAGACCTAAAATTTCAGGCCTATAAGGGACCTTTTGTAATCACCCATGTACAAGTCTCTCAAAGTAAAAATTTAATCCCAAATTAAGTAGCCTGTCCAAAATCTCACAGACAGTTCACAAGAAAAAATCCTACTAGACTAGAACACATGACTAGAGCCCATATTTTGTGACCAGTAAGTAGGTCATATTCTCTTTGGATTCTGCCATGAAAGGAATAATTTTTTTTTTCTTTTTAAATATATTATTGTTTTCATCTTCCCTTAGCACAAGTACAGTGGTTTGCATTAGATATTCTATAATATTAACTCTGTCCTCAAGATCTTTGTTAGTAGGTATCTGAAAACACAGAGCAACAAACTGTGATATTTACACCAAAATAAATTTCAAATGAGAAAGAAGGCATAATTTTAAAATAGAACACATATATTCAAATAAATGCCTATACTGAAATTACACAGAAAAATGTTCAAAATACTTGACTTCAAATGCTCACTATTTTAATCTCTCAAATATCTGTAATTTAATATACACAGTACTTTAGTTCCAAAGACTTGTCTGTTAACTGGATGGCTTCAGCATACTACAAGTCTTTAAAACATAGTTAATAAAAATATCTTAACAATGCCAGATAGCTGAAAGTCACTGTTTCTACACTTATCTTCTTCATCAACTATTAGAAATACATCAATATTACACTTTTAGAAGAACAATCCTCCAAGCAATGTTTTGATTTACTCTAGCTGAAACTGGTAGATAATTCTTACCAAGTTCAACACTGACTACAGCTTAACATCAAAGCATTATATCTTTCATATAGTTTATTTAAAAAAGAAAACACAAAATCATGTATATATTATCTTTACAAAAAATTTAAATAGCTTGAGTCAAAAATCACATATGCAGTATTAACACGATTTGTTTATTCTAAGCACATTACCCATACACAAGTCTACCCAGTTGAACAAAATCATGCTATTATAGTATTATAGCAAAGTGCTATCTTTAGTATGAAATTGGTATTTAGTACTTTTACAGAATGAACCAAATTGACAGAAATGGGAATGGGGGGGGAATCACACCAGTCTACACAGCTGAAAGGTTACATATATATGTATATATCCCACTCAAATGTGTATTTAAATTTCAGTGTCCTGCATTGAGAGCAAGCAAAGTTCCCAAAGTAAACAGCATTCTAATCCTTACAAAACACGCACACACACAAAAACAAAAGCAAAACTTTTATTTCCTCCAATAAATCTTGATTTTGATCTACACAAATCTAAAATACCAAAAGAACCAAAACAAACATGTCTCTTCCAAAAAAGTCACAACACTAAAATCTTTGGTATTAGCAAACTGGATTTTTAAAAGTTTCAAATGCAATACTCAACAACTCCCTAGGTAGCAAAACTTTGTAAAAATCATTTCTGGCTTTGAAGTCACAGAACCAAAACTGTATTTCACTGACTATTTTAATACACTGGCACATCTATTTAATGAGGAACATAACCATTACATTTTTCATGCTTCTCCTTTCACAAACAGGAAAATCTCTTCTTGTAGACGAGGTCTGGACATGTTTTCAGGTGTTAAAGGGTACTGCTCATACATACATAAATAAAACAAAACAAAATAAAATAGACTTCAGCCTCAATTTTAATTGAAGCTATCTGTTCTTTCCTTTAAAATGCTCACAAAATACAACCACCAAGCCTCAGAGAACAAAAGAAGTATCGAAGAAATAAAAAAGCTTTTTTTTAGATTGGGAGCTTATTTATTTGTGATGGGATAGGAGGTGGAAAGGAAGGAATGTAGCCGCCACTGTAGTACAAAAAAAAAAAGGGGGGGAGACCCAGATAATCCGTGAGAATATAACAATTCTTCAAAATGCATGTTACCAATGTTTGGAACGGACAGTACAAGTCTCCTGAAACACAACTGCTATAATAAAGCCTCATATTCACCACCCTCATTTTCGAAAACTTCCATCAGTGAGATCCATTTGCTTGCTTTACTTTTTAATTAAAGGTTCAGGAATTCACCTTTCTGGCAGTAATTTTGGATATAAGAAAATGAGAATGAAACCCCGAATTTCTGCTTAGTTTTCACCTGACAAGAAAAAATGACAGAGATGCTGGCGGGAAAACCCTGCGAGTCAAGTTTCCCCATCCTGGCTCCCTCCCCACCCCACCCCACCCCTTTCTTCCCACCTTCACGAAAGGAATTGTCCAAAGAAAAAGTTTATAACCCAATCCGTGGAAAGCTCAAATAAAGCAAATCATTCAAGCTGAATGCACCTAGGCCCACTCGCATCTGCGGGAAAAGAGGCGGCAGCTGCGGCCCAGAGTGGGCAGCAGCCTCAGCCCTAGCAAGCAGGGCGGCCTAGCGCTTAAGGCGGGCTGGCCGGTAGGCCCGGGCCTCCTGGTCTCCAAGCCCAGAGCAACTCCCTTCGTCACAACGGTGGATGATTTTGCCCCTTCACACTACCTGGGACACGAAAATCACGTCTCAGGATTGGAGGTGGGGAGCAGGAAATGCAGTGGAGGCGTCTGGGGACGCAGAAGGGGCCTTGGACCCGCGGCGGGCAACGGCCTAGAGGAAAGAATGGGGGGAGGGGGGAGGAAGGTGGGAGAAAAAGGAGCCTGCGGGATCAGGGAACAGAGTGGTGGGCCGGAGAGCTCGGGAAAGCACACAAACCGGTTAAGGCCAAAGGGGTGGGGCAAGGCCTGTGTGAGGGCCAGGGCCGCGGATGGGGGACCCCAAGGTGGGTTTACGGTCGAATTTCGGCCTCACCTGAAGTCCTTGTCGCTGGATGTCATTTTTTCCAGCAAATTGGAAATGTGGTACGAGGCGCTCGCCATGTTGACGGCCTCGATCCCGCCCGCTGGCGTTGCCGGTGCTGCTGCCCGCTGCCGCTGCCGCCGCCGCTGTTGCTGGGGCTCCTCCTCTCGCTCGCGGCGGCTCCCGCTTCCAGGGTCGCAGCGCGACGCCGACGCCGACTAGGGAGGCGCCTCGACTGGCTGCCCGCGCCTCGACTGGCTGCCCCCTCCTCGGAAAGGCGTGGGCCTGTCCTGGAGGAAGCAGAGGCTGCGGGGTCGGGCTAACGACGGCGCTGCTCGCTGGAAAAGGAGCTCATGGGCAGCGAGTACAGCAGGGCCTCTCCGGGGAGCCAGACACCTCCACTCGGGTCGGTCTCGCTCCCACTCTCTCCGCACTCGCTCCCTAGGGCAAGAGGCCAAAACCCGCCTCCTTCGCTCCGGGGGCGGGGGCGGCAAACGCGGGACGCCACGGAAAGCCGGGGTCAGGGTTCACGGAGGTCTCCCCACGCACGCGATAGAGACGCTAGTTAAAAGGCAACCGTGTTGGCTGAGGCCTTCGTCAGTCTTCCCGTGAACCGCCTTTCAGGAGGCATGACAACGACCGAAAGGGGCTGTTCTCGCGAGACTTGAAAGCGACGGTTAAAGGACGGGGGGGTGAGGGGGACAAGCGTGCTGTAATCTGAGAATAACTTGCTTTTTTTCCGTATGACAATAAAGGAAAGGTTTACGATTTTTAAGGAGTAGAAGGCCAGGGAGTAATGCTAGCTAAGGGGTAGCGTGGGGACCAACATAAGAATTATTAGAAGGAGCTTTCATTCGAATAGGGCGCGTGGCCTACTTTGCCTTCACCACGGTGAAGTAATGTTGCCACGTGAAAACCACAAATCCCAGAATTCAGTCGGGGTGTTTCACTGGGTCAGGATGTGATTGGCTGAAGGAACTTGTAGCGTCCTCATTGGCTCCCGTGCGAGGAGTGAATGCTGGGATTTGTAGTCTAGAGAGTCAGTTGTGGTGGATAAAACCTTTAGCTCCCCGCGCATTTGGTTTCTGCCGCGTATTCGGATTTCCTCTTACAGCCGCTTTTGCTGTTGTGGGATGTCTGCAGAGCTAGGCTGCTGCGGTTTGGGCAGGCGCAATGCGGATCAGTTAGTGTTTTTGGCAGAGATGTAGTAGAGACTTCTAGCGCTAATCCTGGAGAGTGATGGTAGCCTCATCCTCAAGGCAGCTGAGTCTCTGCTGGGCACAGCCCCACCGTGCCATAAAGAGCTCCCTAAAGGAAGGACGGCCACGACTAATGATTGTATTCGGACCTTCTCGTTTTATTCAGAGTAGCGAAAGGACTACCCTCTGCAGTTAGCGCTTGTGGATCTGTTAATCCTGCAGCTGTATTTGATTGTTCCCAGAGACATACACACACAGCAGTGGGAAATCAGACACCAAATCATTTGTTTCAGTGCCCACGTTTTTATCTGTTTAATTGGAATTGGAGCTAGCTAACAGGCCTTCCTAAAAGAAGAAAGAGAAAGCCCAGTCAAGAGAGAAGGAAAATTCTGTCCCAATCTGTTACTGCTCCTGTTAAACAAACAAACAAAACACTTACAGAGCTCCTTTCTTTCACATACTAAATCTGACGTTTCTCTACTGTTCGTTCCTATAGTTCCCAAATGTTACTGAGTGTCTTCTAAAAGCCAGGCACTGTTATAATTAATAACAGTTAAAACAGATGGAATGTGATCCGGCCTCATGATTCATACCTAAATTTCCCCTCATTACCCTTGTTTGCCCCCATGTATCCTTTTACTTTAATACTGTTTCTCCCCGGTAGTACCATACCTCTTCACCCATTTTACCCAAGTCAGCCAGAGAGCTTCATCCATAATTAACGCCCTCTGCTCTGAACAACCTTTCCACAATATTTAATATAAACTATGCACATGCACATCACACACAAACAAGCTGGCCATTTATCTTGTGTGGACCCCAAGGCTTAAAGTCTTAGTCATCTGGTGATAACCCTTTTTTTTAAGCCTGAATCCGGTCAGACGCCAAGTCATGTTTTTTTGTTTTTTGGGTTTTTTTTCCATTTGTGTTAAATCCTTTCATTTATCAGTTTTCAACTGAACTATAATATTTGTAGTCAGGCAGCTTGAATATAAATCCTGTTTACTGGCACTTATTAGCTGTCTTAGGCAATTCACTTCAAGGTCTCTGAGCCTTGGTTTCTTTATGGATAACACTATGATCATCAGAGTACAGTATTACCCCATCTGGCTGTCTTAAGAGCTGTTGTCTGAGTCTGCTAGTGTTGCTATAACTAAATTCCCTTGATTGGGTGTCTCAAACAAGAATTTTATTTCTCATAGTCCTGGAGACTGGAAATCCAAGATCAATATAGTAGCAAGGTGGCCTTTTCATTGTGTCTTCATGTAGTCTTTCCTGTGTGCACCCACACTCCCAGTATCTCTTTTTCTTCTAAGGATACCAGTCCTATTGGATTAGGGCGCCATCCTTTTAACCTCGTTCAACCTTAATTGTGTCTTCATTTCACCTCACATAGCTCTTTAGATGCCCTATCTTCAAATATTGTCCTATTGGAGGTTAGGGCTTCAACATGTGAATTTTGGGGGAGACACAGTTCAGTCTATAACAATACCCCATATAAAGTGTTCAGCATATTACCTGAAATGTAATCATCTTTATAAATACTATTTCTGGCAGTTACAAAGGTCGTGGAAAGCATCTAACAAAAGTCAGCTATTAGTAGTAGTATATTCTCTCCGTCTTTCGCTTGTCCCAGCCCCAAACCATTCTGCATAGCCAGTTCGGAGGCTTTTAAAACACTGTTTTTATAGTGCTACTCAGCAATTTAAAAAGTTCCGTGGCTCTCTACCACTGAATGAAGTCCAAATGTTTCAGCAATCAATGGCCCCCTTCGTCTGTCCCTAGACCTTCTTTCCTGATCTTTCTCCCCCTATTCTAATACAGGAATTGCTCCCATCAGTTTCTTTGAGTCCCTCAAAAACCCAACTCCAAATTTTTGTATAATCATCATTATAATAATAAGACCTTACTTCTAGGTCAGGTGCCACATTAATTCATTTAATCTACATTTTAAGTATGAGAGGCACAGAAAGCTTAAGTAACTTGCTAAAGGGGCAGTCAGGGTGAAAACCCAGGCAACGTGGTCTCAGAGCCTATGCTCCAAATCTCTGTACTAAAATGCTTGTCCCCACCTGCAATGCTATTCACCTCCCTTGTCTCCTTCTAGGATCTTGAACCAACAATAGTGTTTATATTCCAGCTTCCAATTAGAGTGTAAATTCCTTAAGAGCTTGTACCAACTTTAAACCACTTCTTTCAAGTACTGAGCCCATGCCAAATTCGTAATAGGCACTCAAAGTACTTAATTTTATTTTGTATTCTTGACCTCTTAGAGATTTGATCTATTCATCACAGAATATAGGTGGTTACTAAACGGTGGGGAAATGCTTTTCTTTAATCTGTAAATGCTAAATTAATTTTAACCGCAAAAGGAAATAAGCCTACATAAGGCCACCGTCCAAGAGTTTTCTTTCAAGGCAATGGTCATAATGGAAAACTGAGACAGGAAAAGAAGAAAAATGGAGTCCTTTAGCTCTTGGAAGTTTCTTCATATATCAACCAGTAGCTTAGCTTAATTCACAAACATTTATTGAGTGACTACACTGTCCCAGGCAGTGTACTAGTTACTGGGGAGGCAAAGATGAGCAAGACATTTTCCTTAATTTGGGCGGACATTCATAATTGACCAAATCTTAAATTTCATATAACATTTTTTGTATTTTGCCTAAAGGAATAGATCCTGAAATTGTCTTTAAAGTGTAAATATGGTAAGACTGAGGTGAATTATGTGTTAAATGTTAAATATCAATAAAGAGAAAGCAACAGAAGGCAACGGAGACATTATATAATTGATTTATTAAGTAATATGAAGTTGTTGGGGTACTGGCATAAAATGTTACTTTGTTGTTGTTTTTCTGTCTTTTTTTAAAAAAGATTTATTTATTTGAGAGAGAGAGAGAGAGAGCATGCGCGTGAGCACACAGCGGGGAGTGGGAGGGGAGAGGAAGAGAGAATCTTAAGCAGACTCCATGCTCCGCGTGGACTGAGCCCAAGGCAGGGCTCCATCTCACGACCTTGAGATCACCACCTGAGCCGAAACCAAGAGTCAGATGCTTGACCTGCTGCACCACCCAGGTGCCCCTGTTGTTTTGTTTTTCAAACACCCTCTGTCAATTCTTTTACATCACTCTTAATGATATACTGGGCAGTTCCCAGAGCTTTTCCTTTGAAGTCTTAAAAGTCCAATCTAGTTTAGTCCAATGTCCATCCTGACACTACCTTCTGCTTCTATACCTCATAGGGTTAAAGAGAAGGGCAAAAGAGAAGATAAGGGGAAAGAGGCAAACTGCTTATCATTCCACATCTCTCTTCACTGTTGATGTCATCTGGTAGACCCCCAAATACTGACTCTCTTGTAAGGGTCAAGGTTGTAAGTTCTTAAAGGTGTCTTTCCAAGGCCTTCCTTCTGTACACTTCCATGACATAGCATGCCTGAGCATTCCCTGGTCTTCCAGGTGGCAAATAGCACTCATAGATGGGGTCCCTCAAGAAGGTTCACACTCAACTGACTTGGGAGGGAGTTGCTTACTTTGCCTGCTGGAAGCTCAGGCATCCTTGCCACGCTATACGGAGGGCGTGCAGGCTGCTGCACTGCTGTGCCCTCCTCTGTACTGCCATTTCTCTCCAGTTCTTTTCTCTCCTCAAAAGGGCATAAATCAGTAGATGGCCAACCCAGGGATGAATAATCTGAAGTTTTGGGGGTACCAACGTGAATTTTTTTTCTATTGTTTTGTTGTTTCATCACCACTTTCAAACACAGTCTATCAGATATTTTCCTTCAGCCTTAACAACATCTTGGGCAGACCTCAACTCTCTCCAGAACTTTCCCTTCCTGCAGGGATTCCCATTTTTTTCTGCGTGGTGGGGAGTTTTTATTTGTGTGGTGGGGAGTTTTTATTTGTGTGTCGGTTTTTGTTTGTTTGTTGGAATGGGAAGGGGAGGAAAGACCCAGCACCCAGCATTTTCTGCCAACTGATAATTCCCACATTTCTCTTAGAATTCTTTCTTCCCATGGCAGTCATCTTATACAGGCCAGGAGGGTGTTGACAGGATCATGGTAACAAAATCACCTCTAAAAGGGGCTACTGGCCCCCCTTAGTGGGTTTCTTTAAAAATAGGACATTTAAGGGGCACCTGGATGTCTCAGTTGGTTAGCCGTCTGCCTTGGGCTCAGGTCATGATCCTGGGGTCCTGGAATCAAGCCCTGCGTCGGGCTCCCTGCTCAGCAGGGGAGTCTGCTTCTCCCTCTCCCTCGGCCCCTCCCTCCCCACTAGTGTGCTCTCTCTCTCTGTCTCAAATAAATAAATAAAATCTTTAAAAAAAAATAAAAAT